GCTTTGGAAATAGATGAGGAACACGGGTCTTTCAATAGCTCTGATTGTTTTCTTTCATAGTTTTCCTTCATTTGGAAAATAGAAATTGTAAGTGAAAGGAGCATGGAATTTCATTTGAAGATAGCTAAAAGATGGTTACTTAATATATTTTAACACTTGTCAGTTTTGGAGTTTTAGTGTGTACTTTATATCTTATAAAAGAAATATCTTTAATTGTAGGTGCCTACCGATAATAAAGCTTTGGTTAAAACTGACATCCAAAGTAGTACATATCTTCTTCACCTGATTTTCAAGAAAATATATCTCAAAATATATTGAAATATATTTCTTCACTAAAAGATTTCTTACTTCATTGAAAGATTTTTACCAGTGCTTTGAGATAAAACCATTTAAAGTTTGGCTTTTATTAAAAATAAAATGTTATAGTTTATGAAATTAAAATCACAGTATGTTTTATACACATGCACACACACACACACACACACACACACACTTCAAAGAGAAATAATTTCTTTTAGAGGACCATAGGCATAACTGGACTTCTTCATTTAATATAAATATTTAAATATACTCTTCCAATGACATTTTCATTTAATTACTATTTAAATGATCATTATTTTACTGGATAAATTTTAAAATCACTTTACCACTACTATGTTTAGGAAAGTGTTCTAGTTTTGTTCAATAGGCTCATACATACTATAATTTTTAAATAATGAACTGATTAACCTATGCAACATTTTTATTTTCAATGATCTATTCTAATACTGCTTCAAAATATATAAGCAAATTAAAAGAATTATTATATATTTTCAAAAAATGTGAATGAAATTAAATAGTGGCTGAATATTTAAAGGTCTGTTATTAAAAACTGTACAATATACATGTTTCGATGCTGTTCTCTCAAAACATCCCACCCTCGCCTTCTCCCACAGAGACCAAAAGTCTGTTCTGTACATCTGTGTCTCTCTTTTTTCTGTTTTGCATATAGGGTTATCATTACCATCCTTCTAAATTCCATATATATGTATTAGTATACTGTAATGGTCTTTATCTTTCTGGCTTACTTCCCTCTGTATAATGGGCTCCAGTTTCATCCATCTCATTAGAACTGATTCAAATGAATTCTTTTTAATGGCTGAGTAATATTCCATGGTGTATATGTACCACAGCTTCCTCATCCATTCATCTGTTGATGGGCGTCTAGGTTGCTTCCATGTCCTGGCTATTATAAACAGTGCTGCAATGAACATTGGGGTGCATGTGTCTCTTTCAGATCTGGTTTCCTCGGTGTGTATGCCCAGGAGTGGGATTGCCAGCCCAGGTTGGGTGCATGAGACAAGTGCTCGGGCCTGGTACACTGGGAAGACCCAGAGGGATCGGGTGGAGAGGGAGGTGGGAGGGGGGATAGGGATGGGGAATATATGTAAATCCATGGCTGATTCATGTCAATGTATGACAAAAACCACTACAATATTGTAAAGTAATTAGCCTCCAACTAAAAAAAATAAATGAAAAAAGAAAAGAAAAAAAAACTGTACAATATATGCTGCAATTTCATCTAGCATTTTTAAAAATGTTGATGAATTTTAAACCACTATTTTTAAAGACCTTATATTTGAAACTTCTCATTCCAGTCTATATCATTTGTACTAACTTGCTATTGTAGAAATTAAAATATTATAAAATAAGCCTCAGCTTTCAGGAATGAGCAATGTGCACAAAAATTTAATAATTTAAACCATTTCATTATGGTGATTAAGCTACTCTTAATAGGACATAGAATGGTGTAAAATACCTCTAGGCTTCTGTCACTTGCTAAATCACTATCCACACATTTTAAGAAGAAGCAAATTAACTGGGGATAGTAAATAATTTAAAAAGTTTTAATAAAATGACTACTGTGTAATTTTAACACATTGGCTAAGAATAAATTTGACTTGAAGATTTAGAATATTAAGCTAAGTGGACTGTTTCATTTTTTATGCAGTATAAAAACAATTATACTATTTATACTTAGGTCTTACTACCTCTGCTCATCAATTACTAATATAATTACTTCTTTAATTCTTTTGATTGGTTATTGTTTAATTGGACACAACTAAAACTTAACAAGGGAAAATATGCCTTAGAGACACATTTTTGTGTGTTTTTTATCTATTATGATCATCTATTTTTCATTCTTTCATGTTTCAAAACTGATAAAATTATATATAAATATATGTTTATATATATACATATTTTGGGTGTATATAATGGGTTTGCAAAATAGACTGTCCTAGAACTTGTCAGTGTAACATATTTTAGGAAAGGAGATAATAAAGTGTAGAGTTCACATCCTGAAAACTGTGTTAGGTACAAGTTAGAGTATTTGACATCCCCTGCCTTCATACACTTGGACATTTTCAGCTGTTAAACTGTTATGTGGCTAGTCCTCAGATATTCCTGAACCCTAAATAATAAAGAATGAATTATACAAGAAGATATATAGATATATATTTATATTTACATAAATATATTCCATATATATACACATTCCATTTGTTATATTTACACACCACACTTGCTGATTAGCTATAACAAAAAACATATTATGCTGAGAATACAAAATGCATAAATCATAGCTTTAAATATCAAATGGATATATGATATATAAAGTAAACGAAAAAGCTTATTTTATATTCTATATGAATTATTTGCACATGTGGCACAGCTATCCAAATTAAGCACAAATATATTATTTTCATTCTTTTAAGAAATCACCATAAAAGTTAAATTGTTTATCATTTTAAAATATTATCAAGATTTCTGCATGACTAGTTTTACAGGAATAAGCCTTAAGTAGTTAAGGCTTCTGGAGATGTTACCAGTTATTTGTACCTGGCAGATGCTCAGACACATAACCAGATTCTTCAGAAGAGTTGGGAATACATGAAAGAGAGCTTTTTGAAAGACATTAGGGCATTCTCACCAGCAACTGGTCAGACTGCTGGCACCCAGCCATGTTTCCTGGTAGGCTGGGGAACTTGCCTCTGAGAGGAAGTGTTGTTAGATTATACCTTCTGCTCTGCAAAGTCACCTTGGGATGCAGATCTTTTCCTGTGCATTAAATGAATTCGGCTTTGCCTATGTCTATTGATGTCTTTTAGTCAATTACATCCTTGTGACACTAGAGACAACTGTACCAGTATTTATCTTCATCTGATACTAATAGGATTGAATTTTAAGATCTGGTGCTGAATTTATTATATATGCAATCTATTAGGAAGCAAAAAAGGGGGAAGTTAGGTCACCAAAGGTATCCTAGAGGTTAGTATATTCTATGGAGATTAAAGATCCTGGCTCTTGAAACTTTAATTCAAAATCGCCTACAGCCAATGGGTTCCACAGCTTTTATTTGTGTCACAGCTTCCACAGAGAGTTGTGAGCAGAGTGAAAACAATTTGCTCAATAGCTTTAGGAACACTGACACTTCCTGCTAACTCTGCAGGAAAAACATATTCCTGTGATTATCAGCAAGAATGAAGTACTCCAAACTGTGTCCACATCCTGATTACCTGAGGGTGTCTCTTATTTATTGGAGAATTGAGGAGAGATTTCTTTAAAATTTTGTTTTTCTTTCTGAAACTTGTTTTCACATGAACCTCCTACCCCATGAGCTTATTATTATGAGTATAAAGGTCAGTGAGAAATAAAAGAAAAGGTAATATTCAACTGTGGAATGGAACTTACCATTTAAGAGCTGCATTCTTTACAGATAAAACTAGTAAGATACTTGACAAGTATAAGTTTGCTTATCTACAGGACAAACAGCACATTGAAAGCTGAATTTCTAAACTATAGGGACAGGAAAGGGTTAAACAGCAGCCAGGCCCTTTCTCCTCCCATTACTCACATTCACATTCCTCAGACATAAAAATGTGTGTTGTTATCTGTTGCAAACATAATCCTTCCATATTTCAGTTATTTTTCCAAATTTAAAGTAAGATAATTCAATCTGCCAATGTGTTTAAGACTAATGTAAAAACAGACATTTTGGACTGATTTCTATTTTCCATTTTCTGCGTTAGAAAAGAACCACAGAAGAAAAGAACATCATTGCTCATTGAAGTGTATAGTTAATTCCACTTCATTTTTTTTATTAAAGGTTTTGCCACCATGTAAATAACAAATAATACCTCAACTAAAATTTACAGCAACATTCCTGGAGTTTGAACAGATTGTGCTTAGCTTGCTTCTCTTCAGTAGTACCCACACCAAGAGTTATCCAAAATACCAGGGCATCATTCTTTAATAACCCAACACCAGTGACATTGTTAAACTTTTAAATTTCATGAATTTAGGCATTTTTACACTAAAAGCAAATACAAGGCACACTATGTCTGCATTTTTTGTTAGCACTTTCAATGAAGATAGTTAAAAATCTATCATATTCAGCTCTCAGAGTTAAATAATTATCTGTTAGGAAAGTAAAGCACAAAACCAGACCTAATATCTGCCTGAATTGTCTCAATATTACTACAATTATGTAATCTACTCTTACAATTTCAGATAGCAAACATAGCATTGCAATGATTAGGTCTCCACAATTTAAGCAAAGGGATGCCCTGAAATAGGTGAATAATTTGGGCAAAGGACAGGCAATTGCTGAAGCAGAAACATAAACAGTGAAAACAAAAGAGTATTATAATCTGAATTAGCAATTACTTCCAATTTCCATTTTGCTTCATTGCACATGGCCAGTTTTTAACCATTAGGCTTGTTGATTCTTTGGCCTTAACCAATGACATAACACCATCATAATCATCACTCGCATACTAACACAATTCTTTTCCATTAGTGTGTATTAGCTCAAGTAATAGGCAGACTTAGGGAAATTATAGTTTAAATTGGGTAGCAATAATGTAGAAATATTGGTTCCTAATCCAACTCCAAAAATTACCTAATTTTCTTCCTTTGTCCCCCTAATAGAAATACCTAGAAAAAAAAAATGTACTTACACTGCACGATGAGCTGCACCAAGGCTTCTCTTGGTTTCACGTTAAATCCATTATACTGGCTGGTCTGACATCGGTACATTCCTGACATTTCCCTAGATACATTCACAATCCTCAGTGTTCCATCATAACTCTCCATTTGCATATTCCCGTCAGGCATTGCGACTTCTTTATCCGCTCTAGACCAGAGGATGATGGGTTTAGGTTTTCCAGTTACTTGACACTGCAGTTCTATTGTGTCTCCTTCTCTGGTGACCAAAGGTGATTTTTCCTGTGGAACAGTCAGATTGGGTGGAACTTGAAATGGGAAAAAGAAAATTTTTCAAGGTTAGTATATACTGGTAAAGCATATTCAAACACAGAAAATCATAAGGAAATAATATCTGCTGGTTGAAGAAGTGTGACAATTCAGATGACAAAAATTACAGACATCTTGGGAATAAGTGGCACATACTCTCATTTAAGTAATTCTAAATTGTTTTCATGGTCTCAAATGAGGTCTTCAAACACTAGCAAGACAAATAAGCATTAAACTGGAACGCGAATGATCAACATAAGAACAATCTACTCCATGATTTGTCATTATCAACCATTAACTGGGTCTTTAACATCTGCATTTCACAGAAGAGTGATCCTACTTGCTAAGGTAAGGTTAAGCTTTTCAGTCTTCTGCTTCTTAGGCCATTATCTCTTACCCAAGGATGCTATTAGAAAGGGATAAGAGATATCATAGACTTACTAGGTACAGTAAATGCAATAGGAAGGGGAAAAAGAAGAACCTCTGATATAAAATCCAACTGACCAAACAGCTAAGGTTTAGGATTTGTTCTCTCCCCTGAGAAAATGAAATGGAACAATGGATTACAATACCACACTCTGACAATTGAATGTATCATTCTTTTCTATTTTTAATATTTTTTGACATTTGAATTTCATATGATTTGCCTTGAACACATTTTGAGATCATTGTAAATAGATTGTCATGACATTGCCACTATTTCTATAAAATGTATTTCAAGTGAGTTTTGAAAAATACAGTTCAGCAATACAAGAATGTAATTTTCTCAAGTAAAGCTAATTTCTGATGTTACTGGAGATATTTATTAGAAAATCAGGTTGATTTAAAAAAATTATGTATTATTATTTATTTTGGCTGTGCTGGGTCTTTATTGTGTTGCGGCAGCTTCTCTAGTTGCGATGTGTGGCCTCAGTAGCTGCGGTGTCCGGGCTTATAGTTGCAGTTTGTGGGATGTTGGTTCTGTGACCAGGGATCAAACTCAGGCCACCTGTACTGGGAGTGCAGATTCTTAGCCACTAGACCATCAGGGAAGTACCAGATTGATTTTACAAGAAGTTAACTTTACCACACTTGAAAACATGAATTAATAAAAGGGAAGTATTATTCAATGAGTTTTTTTTTTTAAGGTATCTCCTGTTCCACTGGAAGACTTTTACTTCTCATACAAATGTATATGAATTCAAAAGTATTTATACAATAAAGGATCTGTAAGAAAAGCATGGGCTAAATTAGAATGGCAGAACAAGAATAACCAGAAACATACACATAATTCTATCCTTGTGAAAATGTCATACATTTTCCCCTTTGCAGGTAATACTGCATACGGACAAAAAGGCAAAATTTTTATTTGCCCTTCTAGCATTACTGTGCTCCAGTGCCCAGGAACAAAAACAAACATATTTAACTTTTAAGAAATTTTTCTACTAATGTTGAACTGTTTTTCTCTTATACATATAGAAAACAAAATTTACAAAGTTATATCAGAATTAATTATCTTGCTGTTTAAATATCTTCATGTCTGCTTTTCCATTTAATTCCTTCATTTACTTCTAGTTTAAAAAACTATTTAAACCATGTACAGCATCTTAGAAATTAGAAAACATGAAACATTTACCACTATCTTCTTGAAATATATATATATTCTAGGAAATGGCATTAACAGAAACATGTTTAAATATGGCTGCATTAAAAAAAACTATATGATTAAATCATTTACTCTTGTAGATATAAACAACTAAATAATGTAGCTAAATAATTTGTTCTTTTTGAAGTGAACCACCAGAGAATGATACAATACTAAGCAAGCATCACCTTGTAACAACAGTTTCAAAAAAAAGCTGAAATATTTATTCACCCTTCATGAGAAAGGATACAGAATAGCAGCAATAACCTCAACACTTAACATTAATTATGCTCCTATTGTGTACCTGGTATAGTTAGGAATTTTACATTTTCATGAATTCTCATGACCATCCTTGAATCAAATGTTTAATATTAAAATTTAACAAATGAGAAAACTGAGAATAAGAGAAGATAAATACTTTGATTTGAACAGAATTAAAACTGAAGGAAATTGATAGCAGGTGGCTGATGTAGAGATATGAACCCTGAAGCCAGCTTTAGCAAACTATGGTGTTTCAAAGGAATCCTTTTGGATTCCTCTCCTTTTGCTCATAATTACTTTGTTCCTATGGACAAACTGGACTCTTGGTTGGCGTCTCAGGGATAATAAAAGAGTCAAGGTAGAAATGTGATGGAATATGTAACACATATGTTGCAAATTACCTTATCTTTCTATGTTGGATCTTATAAATCTGCCTTAAATATCTATATTTAACAATACTAGAATAATTCTCATATATGGCAAAATAAATATCCAAATTATTTTACATTTGTATGAAATAAATGAAAATAAATTATACATTAAAAGATTATTTAGTGGAGTGTTATTATTTAAAATTGGTAAACTTCACCTTTTCCAAAATCAAGTCTCACATGACGTTGGCCAAGCTTAAACACTCTATGAGTATGAATTTCTTCACTTTTGAAACTAAGAATTTATATTTAACCATCTTCAAGGGTATTCATGTTCTGATTATAGGAACAAAGAGTAAAACATTACAGAGAGGAGAGGGCTAATAAAAGTATCAATTTTCTGATTTAAGAAGATGAATATTCAAAGATCTTATTACATTAGGCCAGTCTAACAAAAAGAGATCCTTGACTAGCTATATTCTTTTTAAATTTATCATGCCAAACAGTTAAAAAAGAAAAAGAAAAAAAACCTCCCTTGTAAATGTAATCATTTGTTAGATAAACTTTTCTCCTTTTGTAATAAAAATTATAGAAATGTAAACCTCAGTTTTAATCGAGGTAAGTTATAAATTTATTTTTTAATATATTTGCTCATTTAAAAATAAATACCAAAGTCCAGTTAAAATACAGCTTATTTTCCACCCTTTCCATGATGTTTTTGAAATTTTTCAGAGTTAACCCTTTTTTTGCAATTTTCTTGGCTAAGAATGTCCTAAAACGTTTTTATAGGCTTCTCTCTCTCTCTCCACATTAAATTTTCCATTCTCTAGAACACTCTAAATTATCATTATTATTTTTTTTCTATTAGGAGATTTTGTTTGTTCTCATGAATATCTGTTTGGTAGGGTTATAATAAGAATTATAACTTTACCTCAAGATTCTTTCAGTCAGTAATTACAGCCCACTATGATTTTCCAAAATTCTTGCAAGTCCTTAAGCCTAAGCACTATTTATTTCTGACTTAGTTGATAGCTAATTATGAGGACACTTGATCTGCTAATTAAAAACCATAGGCTTTTTTTTGTTTCAGCATTTATTCTAACTCATCACTTCCAATCAGCTGCTTTGGTTTCTATGTCAAAAACATCTCTTATATCTCCTATTTCTTTTCATGGCTATAGGAAGATTTCTTAGTAAAGTCATCATTTCTTCTTGTGACAATGTCCTAAGTGGTCTTTCTGTCACCAGTCTAATTTTTCCAGCCCTCCTGCTTCCCTGTCATAAGATTTATCATCAGAAATGCAATTATGCTTCTGTCACTATGAAAATTTCAATCCTCAATGAGAGTGCTCAGCCTAACACTGCTTTAATTAAAAAAAGAAACTGAAATCAGACTGACAGATTTTATTTAAAAAAATCATGATATAGTCATATAATAGATTATGATGCAGCATTTTTAAGTGATGATATAATTGACCCACATTTATTGACAAAGATATTTATATTGTTAAGCAAGGAAAGCATTCTTGTGAATAGTATGGCCAGCTATAACCACTATTAATAAGTGAGTAAAAGATGTTACTGGACAGTATGTATCATAATATATTTTTATATAAAACAAATGCCAATGAATGTTAGCAGAGAGCTTCTTAGAGGGGAGAATATACATGATTTACCTTTATATTTGCAGCATCCCCCACTCTCTTTTGCAGTCTCTGAGTTAAAGGAACTCAGTAAAAATGTTTATACCAAATGTACAAATCAGGAGAGTGAGGCATTTGATCATTGAGTTAGAGAGGAAAACAAAACTGACATGGGGAAAAATGTAGAGGAAAAGAAAGCCTAGAAGGAAGTACACTGAAACACTAATAGGAAGGAGTTCTCTCTGAATATGGAATTATTGGTAAATTTTATTTTTGGTATATTTTTCTTCATCTTTCACTCTTCTATAATATGTGCTATGCATATTAGCATATGGTAGGGTTCAAGAACTCAAAGAAACTTAAAATGTTAATGCAGCCTATTTTCCAAAGCTCATTTGATGAAAACTCCTCTTTTCAATAACAAGAGTGTCACTCCAGACACACTAATCTAGACAACAGTCTTAGACACGCTCTTCTAGAGACGCTCACCCCTGCAACCTTCATTCACTCACAGCTGCACTGACACTGGACCTCAGTGCTCCTGTGGTTCTTTCCTGTGTCAGCAAGTCTGGCCCTGTCTTCTAGCACTCCTGCTTGTCCCATGTGTTGGGATTCAGGTCACCCCTAGGTTGAGCTGGTCGTTCACTATTCTTGACCACATATTGTGTGTATACCCATTTCGCCTGTACTCATGGCTTCACCCTGTATTTTCCCCCATGTCTATATCCCTGACCACACAGCTCGGTGAAGGCACAGAATGTCTTGCTCTATCTCTAAAGCCCGATGCCCTACTTTTTCTGGTTGGCACAAACCAGGAAGCTATGAAATAACTGAGGAAGGAAGAAGGAGAGAGAGGGCAAAAGGAGTTAAGAAGGAGAAAAGATAAAATGCTATGACTGTAACAGAAAGAAAAGTGAAAGTCACTCAGTCGTATCCCACTCTTTCTGACCCCATGGACTACACAATCTATGAAATTCTCCAGGCCAGAATACTGGAGTGGGTAGCCTTTCCCTTTTCCAGGGGATCTTACCAATCCAGGGATCGAACCCAGGTCTCCTGCATTGTAGGTGGATTCTTTACCAGCTGAGCCACCAGGAAAGCCCATAACAGAAATAAACATGA